GATAAAGTTTTTTTCAAATTTCAAAGTTTTTGATAAAGATTTTAAAAGTGTATAAGTTTGTTAAGGTTTCAAAATTTTTGATAAAGTTTTCTAAAGTGTTCAAGTTTTCGCCAAAGTTTTTTAAAGTATCAAAGTTTTCAACGAAGATTTTCAAAGTGTCAAAGTTTTCGCCAAAGTTTTTCAAAGTGTCAAAGTTTTCGATAACGTTTTTCAAAGTGTCAAAGTCATCACGTAAGTAAATCAAAGTTTTCAAAGTGTCAAATGCAAGTGAGTTAAGGTTACGTTTGGAGGTTTCTATGCAAAATAATTAATTTAGACTCATAATTGCTATACATACCGCAAAGAAAATGTTAAGACTTGTTTTCTAATTACATTCTTGGTACCCACGATATGCCATTGTCAGTACACATTATGACGTCATATTATGACGGCATCTGCTTTACTACATAAGTTTATGAAGAAAACATCAACAAAATCGCTTCGGCGCAAGGGCATACCTTACTTTTTTTTTTACTGAAAGAAGATATAAAGAAAAGCAGAATTTTCCAACGATTTAAGATATTGCTGCACAAATATCGACACTTCAGTTGTTTAGTTACTATTCGTACAGTTCTAGGTTGAAACAGGGTGAAAATGTGCAGTCCAGTGTAAGTTAATAAAATTTTTATCGATTGAAGAAGGGCATATCATTTGTGCAGCAATCTCATTGATTTTAAGAATATTTTCCTTAATATCATACTTTATTTATTTTTAATTAAATAGGATATGCCCTTGCACCGACGTAGTTTTGTTGATGTGTTTTCTTATCTTGAATGGGAAAGAACTATGACGTCATAATATGACGTCATAATGTGCACTTGCATTAATATACTGTGGGTACTAAATATGTATAAGAAAATCTATCTGAACTTTCTCTGTACATAAAATACACAATTCATGCCTTTTTATTAGCTCATTAGCATAGAAAACCCAATATTTAGCCTTAACTTACTTGCGAAGTCATAACCATAGTTAACTGTAGTAAACTATAGTTAACTATAGTATTTTGTTGTTATGGTAGGGCGGGACGCCCCATCAATGGCTGATCAAAGTTTTACATGGAAATTTATAATTATATTACAGTACCGACCGGACACAACCTAACAGAAAGCGAACCCGGAGCAGTTTTTAGTTTTGTATGTCAGTATTTTAATATTTTTCATAAGAACTGGATTCGCTAGGGCTGACCTAGCGATCCCAATTTATTGAAAACCCGTAGCGGACCCCGAGCGAACCAGAAGCGGACCCAGAGAGCGAACCCCAAATTCAGAAGCGGTCCCAGAGAGCGAACGCAGGTTCGGTATTTCTTTACAGAGCTGTCAATCAGGATTAGCGATTAACCAATCAGCGCATCAACCAATCAAAATAGCATATTAATCCGACGATTTGGATATAAGATCGAACGTGTTGATTTAATTCGATATAAATGCAAATCCTGTACATACAAGCAAAATGTGTAAATGTGCTGTGTAAATCTATTATGATTATAAAAAATATCATTTAATATTTATTTATTTTAATCCTTCGGGTTGCATATTTATATATTTATTTTCTTTTTTTTATAAAGGCAATTAATTATTATGTTTTAATTTTCCACGTTGAATTATACATGAGTACATGAATATACACTATTAAAGAAAGAAATCCGGACCGCTATGAAATAAGTCTGGTTTATCGGGGTAAACTCAGGTGAAGTGCGATTTCCATAATTGAACGAATTAATTATGCTAATTAATCTCGACATTTAGTAAATCGTATATTGTTTAATTCTCTCAAAATGGCGTAACTATACTTGGCAAAGAATAATCAGAGAAATATAATATAGAAGGGATATTTTAACATATGAATTATGATCTATTATAAATATTGAAATGTTTTTGGACTAATTATTGGGAAAAAATTATTGATAAAGGCGTATTACTAAGCAATACGTAGATATGTGGGTTGTTCGAGAGTTGGTAACGCAAACTAACTGTAGAGTTACACTAAATTGAAGGAATTATTTTTTATGTATCATCAGGAATTGCGTTAAATTCACGTTCATTCTGGTGCAGTCATTCAGTTTGTTAATAGCATTAGGGCGGAATGACTTCAATCTGTGCATCCAGAAGGAAGATTCCCATATACACGCATTTTTTTCATGCCCGAGAAGATCAAGAAGATTAACATGATTAAGAAGATCAATAATTTTGATGTAAATTTTGAGTAATTTAATGTAATAGATAAATTGAGAAATCATAAATAATAAAATAAAATAATTAGAATTTTTTAAGGACAATGTATGTGTAAAATAGGGGGCCTATATATAAATTCTTTTCGGGTCGGGAGAACAATTATTATTTGCCTTTATCTTTATTCTGATAAAAATCATAATCGCTCCAAAATTCTGATCGTGAAAAAATCTTATATACAGTGAATTTTTTTTTTTAGAAAATGTCCGGTAATTATTTATTACGAACTTCTAATGTGTAACTACTATGAATGAAATCTAAATATATCAGATGTACAAAAGGTTACATGTAATTCATAGATGCGAACAAATGTATTTTTAAACTATATATTAAAGCATGAATTTTAAAGGTATTAAGTTTAGATTTCTTTCGTCAGTTTCAATTGTACACCATGCGATACACTGAAAATCAATTCAACACTCTTTCTTTCCTCTTCTTTTTTGTTTTCTCGTTATAACTTAAGAAAAATGCCTTATAACCCGCCGTTAAATTACATGTAGTTTGAATTTCTCGGGATCGAAAAATCCCTGAAATCAATTATTCATGTACATATAAATCTTCGTCGAATGTACAGTTGAATTTTAGAAAATTAATCAATGTTTACATGTACAGTGTACATGTCAGGATTGTCGCAAAAACAACAATGATCGATCCACAATACCATTACTGTATTGGAATAAACAAGGGGCGGGCTAACTGGCGGTGAGATTAAAGCGGGGTCCGCTTCACGCATCAGTGCATAAAGCGGTCCCAGGAAGCGAACGCCGGGTTCGATTTTTGCGGACCCAGAAAGCTGACCCCGAGCGAACCCGGAGCGATCCCAAAGCGCACCCGGAGCGGTCCCAAAATTTCTGAAAGCGAACCCGAAGCGGACCCCTATATATACCAGGGAAGCGAAAACTTTTTCCTGTCGGGTTTGCTCTGGTGTTAGGTTGTGTCCGGTCGGTACTGTATCTTCAAAATCTTCTCCAGAACCATTGGACCAGGCAAAATAGTGCTCACGTGGAAGCATTCTCAGGTAATGTAGATTCAAGTTTGTTTAAATCTTAACAACAGGGGGTAGGGTGGGGCCACTCTGGCTGATCAAAGTTTTACATAGGAATATGTAGGAAAATATTTAACATTCTTCTTTTCCAGAACCACTGGGCCAGGAAAGATGAAACTTATGTGGGAGCATCCTCAGGAAGTGTAGATTGAAGTTTGTACAAATCATGACCCCCAGGGATAGGGCGGGGCCACAGTAGCTGATCAAAATTTAAAATGAGAATATATAGAATTTTTTTTGAAAATCTTCTCCAGGACCTCGAAATATAAAATTCATTTTGAAGCATCCTCGGGTAGTGTAGATTCATGTTCGTTCAAATCATGACCCCAGGGGATAGGAAGGGGTCACAATAGCAGATCAAAGTTTTACACAGAAAAAAAAATCTTATTCTCAAAAACCATTGGACCAGGAAAGATGAAGCTCATGTGGAAGCGTCCTCAGGTAGTGTAGATTCAAGTTTGTTCAAACCATGACCCACCGAGGATAGGGCGGGCCTCAATGACTGCTTAGAATTTAAATAGGAAAAATCTTTTAAAATCTTCTTCTCAAGATCAGCAAAGCTATCATTGGTGATATTAGTATTGAAACATGCTCAGTTAAAGGAAAATCAAGTTTGTTCATATCATTACACCAAGGGTAAGGTGGAGCCATGATGGGCAATCAAATCTTTACACAGAAATATATAGGGAAACTCTTTAAAACTCTTCTTCTCAAGTATGGAAAATTATACATGAATGCTTTATTGATATAATGACATCTCAAGTAAATAAATATTCAAATCCCTCTCACCCAACAAGTAAAAATTTCAATACTGAGCTGATTTGTGTTTATGACTATGTGCTCAGGTGAGCGATATGGGCTATGGGCCTCTTGTTCGTGTATTGAGTTTACCACTTTCCCATTTCGAATGCTCGGTAAACTGCCAGAAATATACCAATTGCCTTAAAAACTTTTGAAGAGACAACAAAATTGATTAAGGAACAGAATTAGAATATTTTTTTATCCCAATCTTATGTTTTTAAAATTTTATTACGAATTAATACATGTACTTTTGTATTCTCATATATCTTTTTTACCGTGCGCCGTGGGACCGTACCCTATGCACATTCAAGCATAATAAAATCTTTATTTTGCTCTATGTATAATCAAAAAAATTATGATGCACTTACAGTATATGAAGAATAATCATTTTTTGAAAATTTCAGCTTAATGCGCCCATTACTTTTTGAGAAAAACGTGTTGTCAACGATTTCACGGACAACCCTCATACACGATATAACTGATCACTTAAAACACATTTATCTTGTTCAAAAAAGACCATTTGGCTTAATGAAACATTCATTTCATTGTTTATCAATGGAAAATGTACATAATAAAATTATTTACAATACTGGCATAAATGAGCAAAACTGTTAACACGAACACACCAATTTCTTATTTTACGACGATCTCATATAAATAAAACAAGGAAAGGTGTAGTTCAGCTCCTAATTCATATTCATGTTTTTCGATAAACGAGTTTATAGGCTAATTAATCAATCTATTCCACAACTTAGCTACAAATCGTTATGTGTAAGACATAACTCTCTATACTAGACTCTTTCACATACATTTACGGAAAATCGAAACAGTTCTGTGCAAATATCACCTTTGTGGACTACGTAGCGAAGTGAACATTGATTGTGAGTTAAAATATGAAGACAGTGTTGTAATGTGTTTTTCAATATATTTGTAATATTTTGATCGTATTTACTATATAGTCCTAAAAGGAATCACAATTACTTCAGAGTCAGATCTGCTGACTAGTTCTTTTTCATCCGATTTTGAGACGATGTTTAATGTACTCCATGGACGTCACAAATACTATTTTATCTCTGTCGTCTGAGGGACATGATGTCTTGTTTTAAAGATCCATTACTAAGTCTTAGTATTGCCTGTTAAAAGAAACTATGTTATGTAAAAATAATAACTTTAAGGTTATTTATGCAAAAATACTTTACTTTATTGCGTTAAAGTTTAAATTCATAGGACTATCTCAAACCAAACAATGTTTATTTATTCAATTAATTCATAATAATTATTTTAAACAATATATCGGATATGACTTTTATGCACCAACATCGAAAATGTCTACAAGAATATAGGGTACGAAAAACCCTAATCCATCATTGCTTGCTACAGTGTCCTAGCCAAAATTTCTGACCAAATTCAACTCCTAAAAATTAAAAAATCTTTTTTTTTCATCTAGATTTATATTGTCAACTTCTTTGAAAAGATTTCCTTACATCTTTAGTGATTTAATTCATTTATTTCATTTATTCAACTGTGTATATTTCTGGTATATTAAATAAGGCAGAAAATAAAGCAACAGATTTAATATACGTAAAATCTTATTTGCTAAAATTAATTATATATTGTCGCAAGATTTAACAAGGAATGATTGTTCACCTGAGAAAGGTCTCTCCATTTCAGGTCAAAGTCGTCCATCTCCATGACGTTTATTGTCTGAGTTTTATGTTCCACTTCATTCCTGTATATTCGTATCCTTTCTACGTCATCAGTGGGAAGCTTCTGTTCTATTTCAGGTTTCTTCCCCCAGCCGTTGGTAGGTGCAAGGAGGTTTGGACCATAGTTCCTCAACAACTTGTACATTATGGTTACATCAAATGTGGAGGAAGTGGGAATCGATTTATCAGCTGTGTGGCCATTTAAAAGAAAAAAATATCGAATTGAAATTATGAAAATAACTAATACGTCAAATCAGAGTAATTTTGCTTATTGAATATGCAAATGTGTTGTATATGTTTATATTTGCTTCTGCTCGTTGTTATGATATCTTTTACATAAGATAATAACTAAATCAGATTTTTTTAGCTTCAACGTCCAATTGAAAAATCGTAGACTACAGGTTTATTAGATATTGGAAGTTTGATAGTGATGTCTGTTTTGAGTATTAAAAAAGATATAGTTAAATAGAGAACTATACATGCATAAAGTTTAAAACTTGTGTACAATCCTTTGACACACTGTCAAAAATGTGTACAAAACAGAAAAATGAAGAAAATATCGGGCGTCACTACATTTATAGAATACCTGGAAAAAGCAGAGTACATTGATCTTGACTCATTTTATATTGTCCACGTTGTAGATTGTCCTTGTTTGTAGTAATTGTTGTGACAAGGTCAACAGGTGGAAATATTCTGTCAAAATAAAGCTGCAAAGCATCTCTTCCTATTTTTGTGAGTTTCTCGAAAGACTTGAAATTCATTTTTTTCAATTCTGGTTCGGAAAGACGGGTGCATTCATCTTGATCCATTAGGTCATCCAAATCTGATTAAATATTTATTTTAAACCAATTTTTGACAAAGAAGTATCCTTATGGAGGATATGGAAATAACGAACAGTATTCAATCTCAACGTCCATCAAACAAATATACAAAATAAGAGCAGAGCAAACACGGACCTCCGAAACATCAGAGGTGGGATCAGGTGCCATGGGGGAGTGAGCATCCCCTGCCGACTGGTCACACCCGCCGTGTGCTCGTTGTCATAATCAGGAAATAACGGAAAAAATCCGTGGTCAATTCAGTGTATAAATAATGGACTAACAATTGGTATGAAAAACGTCAGTCAGCATTTCATTCAATAATAAATTGTATTGGCTGACAAGGTCATTGTATCGACCATAGAATTTACGAAATGATGACTTTAAACGAAACTGTTGATATTCTTGTTTCATCAACTTGCTTGTCAATAATTTACCTCGTTTAAGAAATTGTTCATACGTTAAACTACAACTTACATTGAATAAGTGATACTTATATCTCTGCTAAAAAAATCGTTTTCATGGGGGAAATCATTTAACTTAAGAAAACAAAGTTTTAAGAGGAATTTTTAATGTTTCTTTTTAAAACTCTACCACAATTCACATTCCGTTAAGATACCTGAAATCTCAGCCATGACATCCTGAAAGAAACAAAATATTAAATATATCTTTTTATGAATATACATTACATGTAACAATGATCATCAAATACGTTTAAACTGATTTATAATTAAGCGTTCATTTTGTAATAATTAAAAATATCTCGTGTATTGTCAGTACAATTATTCAATATTTGATTTTACCCATTCTTTCACTTATCGATTTCATTTCGTTTATTGAAAATGAGTAATATACATAAATAAGTTCATTGCAAATCATTTACAATGCATATTACCAGTTTCCAGTAAACAAGAAGAGCTGATTCACGTAGTATGTGATGATTGACCATCCCGTGTCTTGGGCACCTTATTTTCCCTTTTTTGTAAATAGCTTTCTCTTCAACAAAGCAGTCATCGTGTTCACGAAACACCTCCTGATTACTGCATTGGTAACCAACAGTGTACATGTCAATTTTCTTGTGGAAATTCCCAAGGAGTTCTTGTAATAGACTTTCAACGGTATCCCGCACATTCAGGGCAACTTCTTTTAAAACAAGGACGTTCGTGGGTTGAAAAATTTGAAGTTGAATTGAGGAATTGTTCACTGCAAGGGCCACTATATGTTCTTTATAAGCAAATCAAGCAACATTTTTGTACAAACATAGTCCATTGTCTTCTAAAACCGTCCATTCTCCATTGGTCCTCGTCATGCAAGAAACGATAAGACGAAAGTAGAAAAACCACGGCAAAAATTGGAATCGATAGACTAATACAGATGTTTTGCTTTGTAAAGACAGGAAATATCTTTCTTCTGTTATTCCAAATGCACGCTTGTTCATACAAGGAATGTAGTGTGCATAGTTACCAACAGCTATCAGACCAAGACGCTGCATATACTGGAGAAGGTTGTTTTTTTTCACGATTCCTGTCCCAAAGATCTATTTCAAAATGTTTACTACTCCATATGCCTGTCAGGAGTTTGTCAAGAATAAAACCACTTTTGTTAAAATTTTCCCAATCGATTGAATTTTCTGCAATGTCACTAACGTGGTTAGGGTCAGTAATTACGTTCTTGAAGGAATCTACAAACCATTGGATATCAATAATGACTGTTCCAGACAGATTATTTTCATGGTAATACAGAATAATACCGACGTCATGTAAGAATTTTAAAACGTCTACTATTTGGACATATTTTTCTTTGTTTTCACCAAAACATCTGTTTAATAAGTTATTGTGCGAAAGCATTTTACGTTTTTGTCTCCTGTTTTCTCTAACAACAACTTCGCACAAAGCCCAGTCAGTGGGGATAGATTCCGTCCATTTATCTTCTTTGGCAAAAGCAACAATACACTTCTCTAGTTCTGAGAGTGAATCATTGAAACATGCACCATCAGTCTCAAATCCCAAAACAAAACACTTCCTCCTGTCTAAGTGTTTTCTCAAATGTTTGTTGAAATGTAGTTGATCCAAAATACTGTTGTAGAACGCATCGGAATTCTACAAAATGTGTTTTACTGATATAGTTTAGTGTGGTAAGACAATGCGCATTCACATAAAAAAGTTCTTCTAAACCTTTATTTTCTTATAGATCATGTAGATAGTTTAAACTCCATTAGTTCAATCCAACATTTGATGTCAAAATAGATAATAGAAAATATACCTTTCCTTTAACCCTGTCTAGATGAGTTCCAACGATGATAACAGGAGCATTACTGTCACAATAAGTATGGACAGACTTCAACCAAAACAGAAGGTATTCTGTTCAATACACAATTCTGATAGATTTAAACAAAGATTTCTCATTTGAGTATATACAAAAGAAATTTCAAATTTGATTGATAACTTTGGTTCCAAAAATGTGTGGAAAATATTACACTTAAGCGTCATTGGGTTTTATAAGTACTTTTTTTGAATTACATTAGGGAACGTTCTCACTCTTTTGCGTATCATATGATGATATACATATAGGGTATGAGAAGACTCTAACATGAAAACTGGTAATCCGTTGTTCATAATCTAGTTTGCATTCCACCCTCACAGCTACTATATTTACAGAAAGGAGGATATGGAGATAACGAACAGTATTCAAGATGAAAAGTCCATCAAAGAATACAAAATAGGGGCAGAGCACAAAACATCAGAGGTGGAATCTGGTGCAATGGAGAAGTGAGCACCCGCCCCCCCCTCCCCTGGGTTTGTTGTTTTGTTTATTTTTTGGGGTCTTCTTTGTCTCTCTACTCTTTGTGGGCCTTATCATTTTAAAAATCGTAGCTTGAAGTGTGTGTCGTGTGATTGAGTATTATAGCACTGAACCTGGAAACCCCCTTTTGAAAATTGCTAAATCTGCCCCAGAATTAATGCACCAAGTACGATCTCTGCAAAGCAAGGTGTTTGCTTGTTTAACGATTTCTGGATTTTTTTAACCTTATGTTGAGACGCCATTTCTCACTTTTTACTGGCTCTGCATTTAGAACAGTACTAGGTACTTTAACCCTCAGAGCAGTTATTATTATCTTTGTGTGCTGTGCAAGCACAAGTTTAAAACGTGATCTCGGATCTTACGTACCGATGAACGATTCTTTATGACAAGCAAAGGTTTCTCATATATAAATAAGTATTTATCTATGCCCTTGGCATTTGGTATAGTGATTTTTAAATCCTGTATGGTTATCAATTCATTATGGAAAACATTACAGCAAGTTTTCTTATGACAAGCAAAGAGTTCTCAATATACTGAGTACTCATTTGTTTCTGCTATGTTTATTTTGATCTTTGCTCTTTTGATATTTTTACTAGACAATGTAAATTGGTCATTTATTTCTCAATAGAAAGCAGTGTACCATGCCTGCCTTGCAAGGGTTCTCAAGAAATTGTGCAGACAGTATTTTCATATCTCCACTTGCTGTAGAGTCGCAAAGTAAAGAGTCGATCCTTGCATCGCAGATTCGAATCTCACTGTGGTAGGTGGATACAGAGCGTGTAAAATCAGGTCATGTGTTGCAGTATATGCTGAAACGCAAAAAGATCCCTCCAAGCTCAATAGCCCTGAGTGGAGAGTATGGGACAAAATTTGTAGCTCTCCGCCGGCAAGTGGTGGCGTCTCCATATGAGTTAAAAATTCTCGAGGAGAAACAACAATCAATCAATCATATCTCTGCTTTGATCTTCAATTTTATCTTTACCTTGTGACCTCAAAATCATTAGGGATAACCTATGGAATACTATTCTGCAAGGTTTGATGTTTGTTAATCAAAGGTTTCTTAAGATATTTGGTGAACAGCACTTGATCTAGCAACCATAAATTTCCTCAACTGATAGACGCGTACAAAGCAATGTGCTTCCTTTTTTGAAAGGGGGGGAGGGCATTAAAAGGATAAATGGAATATTAGACTCTTACCTCCATATGTCCAATCGGCAAACATGGTCCCCTCCTGTTCACACAGCGCTGGGTCGACTTTTTCCTCAAAGGACTTTGACATATCTATCACCAGTATATAGAAGGCTCTTCTGCTGAGATACACCTGATGACAGGCGTAGTAGGCACACTGTCCTCCAAAATCCATGACACTCAACAGTTGCTTTCCTTCCTTTTCTGTGTCCTCTGTCACGGCTAAAATTCATAGTATTTTGAAAACCACTAATTCAACTTTTATAAAAAAAAAAACATATTGATGCAGGATCATACAACTGCAAAATGAATAATACTGCAAGGTCAAATTATTCTATTTTTTATCTATTGTGTTTTTTAGAAGATTAAAATAAGATTGTTTTTTATAGTAAGACTTTGATACAAATTGTGGTCAAAGTGAAAGCTGATTTTCACTACATAGCTGTAGGGATGATTTTTATAGGTCAAAAGTGAATGATTCCTGCTTCTTGAAAGGAAGCTATTTAGAGAATGAGACATCGGAGAAAATTTTATCAGGATAAGCTTTTAACATTTGTGAGCATTTTCAACACTGACAACCATATCAATACTTTTTCGGAAGGTATTCAGTTAGTTCGCGAATTTGTTGATCACCCCTCGTAGTTATCTCGGTCGCCTCTTGCAAAAGCGTTTAAAAGTTTCCTTTAATATTAGTATGTAAAATTAACGGTTTCTCTATTATAATGAATAACTGACTCTCAAAACTAGTGTATGAATGAATCAGCGGTAAATTACTAGTAAGTAAAGTTGAAGATAAATCTTTTTAACGTTCCTCTTTATTGATGATTTATTTAACATTTTTCAAAAACATTACTTTTGAACATATTTTTTCTCTAAATTAACCAATGGATTCTCTATCTCTCTCTCTCTCTTTAGATGAAATTAATTAGGAGATCACTTTCTCTTTTAGACTCAGAGGGGAAAAAAATACCTGTTAAAAAATATTTGTTCTCAAAATTTCAAAGATGTCCTCG